TTTTCCTGCAGCTTGCCCCCATTGACCCAATATAATCATGTACTGTGTCATGATGGGAAAATGCTGGGATATACTGCTCTAAGCAGTGGTCATCTCTGTATTTATAGATATGAAGCCAGACAAAGATAATCACCTGCTCACTAAATATACAGAAAATCCTTCTTCCAACTTCTACCTTTATTTTCTACTACCAGTTTTTCTTTCCTAACCTCACTAGAGGCCACCAATAGTTTATGTGTGTGTGTGTGTGTGTGTTTGTGTAAATATGTACATATTTACATATATATGTAAATATCCTGCATCCCTTTTTTGCACAAATCTTGGAATAGGCAAAATGCCTTAACAAACTACCCCCAAATCTCAATGATTAACATGGAATGGCTTAGTTCTTGCTCATGTCCCAGTGCAGTATGGCCTTTGGGCCAGTGAGGGGAGAACTACAGTCTTCTCCAGTTGCCATTAATCATCCCAACTTCCTTTAACCTACTGGCTCTGGCAGTCCCTAGAGATCTGAGGCCTCTGCCAGATGCTCTATATGAGCTAATAAAGAAAGGAATAGAGCATGAAAGATTTAGAGGTTTTTAAGGACCAGGCTTGGAAATAATTTATATTCCTTTTGCCCATATTTAATTGGGTAGATCTCTGTCATATGACTCCGTATGACTACAAGGAAATGAAGTCTAGGTGTCTGACAAGGACAAAATGAAATGTGGTATGGTGAGTCCATAGCAATCTTTGTTATATGCACTAGACATGCTATTCTTGCTCTTTTAACTTGACAACAAATTATAGAGAGCAACTATTTCATTTTTTTTTTTAAAGATTTTATTTATTTGACAGAGAGCACAAGTAGGGGGAGCAGCAGGCAGATAGAGAGGGAGAAGCAGGCTCTTCACTGATCCTCACTGAGCAGGGAGTCCAATGTGGGGTTCAATTCCAGGACCCTGGGATCATGACCTGAGCTGAAGGCAGACGCTTAACTACTGAGCCACCCAGGTGCCCTGAGAGCAGCCATTGCAATGCATAGACAGTTTCTCTGGACTTTCTAAAAGTTACATAGTATTCAGCTGTATGAATCGCACGTAATTTATTTAACCAATTCATGGTTTAATCATCTCCAACATTTTTTTTATTCTTTCATCTGCAGTGAATTATCTTGTCCTTATGTAATTCCATACATATACAAGCATATCTGTAGGATAAATTCTCAGATGAGATATTGCTGAATCAAATGGTATGAACATTTGACATTTGGATACCTATTGCCAAATTACCTTATTAAGAGATTATACAAATTTATATTCCCACTGGCCACTTCATTGTTTAATCCTACTTGTATAAAATACTTCTACTTTACTCCATGTTTGAATGAGTGTAGTTTAAATCAATCTCCACAGGGTCAGAGAGAGCTCATAGTCTAGGTAATACCCATCTGCATTAAATTCCTCCTCTATCCCTTAGGAGCTCTACATTGTCTATTTCTGTTTCCCAAGTGTGTGACCTCCTAGCAAAAGCATAACTTAGGGCAGAGGAAAGGAAACACACACTCTTGAGCTGTTTCTAGGTATGTCCCAACTCTGTGGACCCTGAGCCAGCCAAGTTTTCTTTGAAGTCTATTTATAGTAAAAGCACCTATAGGGTTTTTGAGATTTTTTACTTTGTCTGCATTTATTTGAATATTTAAAATGTTTCAAATCACTTGCTATTGAGTATAACTGAAACTCCAAGAAGCTACTAGTATCCTCTGTGGCTTGGTGAATTGGTCCACTTCCCCCAGGGCAGACAAAGGATCATGTTCTTTATGGTGGTCCATGGATAGGCTCCTATCCATCCTTCAAAACCCAGTTCATATGCTGCCAGAACATCAAGCCTCCCTGCAAGGTTAGCAAGCCCAGAATGGTGTCGCTGTCCTAAAGAACTCTGAATTATAGCCTAGCCCCGTGCCTGTGCTTGCACATTATCTTTCCTTCCTTTAGTTATAGCCTTCATGAATTCAAATGTATCTATCACATGTCTTTAAGTACTTTGTAGCAAGAAGAGACTTACTAAATTTTTAACGAAAAAAGCATTGAAAATTATTGAACACATTATTGTGTTAACCACTTCTACTTTTCCAAAGGAATCAGGAATTACCAAAATAATAAAATCTACTTCGGAGTCCCAACTCCTTTTAAACATTCCTACATCTTGTTCTAAGTAGTTATGTTAGCCTGATATTTCCTCAGAAACTACACATTTAGTTTACCTACAAATATAGACTCAATTTTCAGTGAAATATCTGTCACATTGATTAACACTGAGCATGCCACTCATTTTTTCTCCTGTCTCTTGAAAATAGGGATAATTGCATTTGCCAGCTACCACACACAGATGTGAAAATAAAAAACCCAGACCTTCAGTTGTACTAGCCTACAATTCAGTTGCTTACTAGCTCATGTGCCTAGTCGCTACCATACTGGATAGTACAATTATAGTATATTTCTATCATCACAGGACGTCTATTGGACAAGTCTGGTCTTTAAGTTCTGTACCTTTTTATTATTATTATTATTCATTTGAGAGAGAGAGAGAGAATGAGAGAGAGAGCGCACGAGATGGGGGAGGGTCAGAGGAAGAAGCAGATTCCTTGCTGAGCAGGGAGCCCAATGTAGGACCGGATCCTAGGACTCCAGGATCATGACCTCAGCCGAAGGCAGTTGCCTAACCAACTGAGCCACTCAGGCATCACTAAATTCTGTATCTTAAAGGATTAACATTTTTAGCTGAAATATTTTTAGCTTTCTGTTTTCTCTTATCTTAGATTTTCCCCCTCAAACTATATTGAAAAATTTTAATTGTTTGGGCTTTAAAAATAGTCCCACCTCCAAGACCATGATTTGAACACAAAATCTGAGGAAAATGACATGTGGAATCGCCATCTGGAGATTGGTACAGCAGCAGATCCAACGATTTCTGAGAAATTGTCTGGGTTTGGAGTTACTCCCAGAACTCTGATTTAGCAGTTCCTAAGCTTATAGCAAGTCTGAAAGGAACACAAATCTGTTTTGTATATACAAATAAATCCTCGTATGCTGCATGCCATTCTCAGCCTGCCAGTTTCATCTGGCTGCTCCAGAAAATATAATTCAATAGCACATTAGTTAACCTGCATGCAGGGAATGGGGCATTCTGATTATTGAAAAGTTCTGGTTGAGTGATTAACCTGATTTTTGCAGAAAAACTGCTGAGGCAAGGGATTTTCTGTCCAAAATGTTTGTGCCACTGTACTTTTTTCTTCCAGATGATCACAGCTGTCTTGTTTCATTCCTGCAACACTCAGAAATATATCTCTTTGCTAAAAAGTTTCAAATATGCAATTGATATACTTTCAAAGAGACCTCAGAAAAATAGGTCAATAATGGTATATCAGATAAACTTAGAAAAAAGAACAAACTTAGAAGGAAATGTAGTATCTTTGCCCAAATTTTACATAGCCATAACCTTCAAGGGTTCCTAACAATAGGGCAGTTTCTTCAAATAGTATAACTTGAAAAATGTTTTATTTTCTTTACTAATAAATACTTAAAAGTGCTTACTAGATATTAGGCAGTGCTGCAAGGGATTTACAAATATTAATTGATTTAATTTTTATAACCACCTTAGAATTAAGTATCACATTACTATCGTCATTCTAAAGATGAAGAAACTCAGGGACAGAGAGCTATGGATGAGCCCTACCTAGTTGATCGACCTGAATCCTCATTGATACAAGTAGTTTTAGCATCAATGGATGAGTTTATGAGAATAGACCTGGCTGAGTTAGGTAACTCCTACTTCCTGCACCCACCCCTTTCTAAGTATTTCATGAGTAATGTAAAGGGGCTGTTACAGAAAGGGAGAAGGAGAGTCCAAAGTGCTAAAAGAGCACAGAAGAAACTGGTGAAATTGTAGTGGTTTTCAGAGAAGAGTAGCTTCTGAGATGAGTTAGAATTAAGGCAAAACAGGGAGGGAAAATTAAATACTATAGCTGTGAAACCACGTATCTGAAACATTTTGATGAGTACTATAATGGTAAAAAGGCCCTAGTGGTGAATAATAAATGACATTGTGTATGTGTTTGGGGAGTCGGGTAAAGAAGGAAGAGGATGAGTCTAAGTGAGATTTTAAGGATTAGAAGAGTTTTATTTCAGACTTCCCAGTAAATAGTGGATATTTGATTTAAGAATTGCCATATTTCAGGGTGCCTGGGTGGCTCAGTGAGTTAAAGCCTCTGCCTTCTGCTCAGGTCTTGATCCCAGGGTCCTGGGATCGAGCCCCACATCTGGCTCTCTGCTCTGCGGGGAGCCTGCTTCCTCCTCTCTCTCTCTGCCTGCCTCTCTGCCTACTTGTGATCTCTGTCAAGTAAATAAATAAAATCTTTTAAAAATTTTAAAAAAAGAATCTCCATATTTCATAAAAAGTAACTTTTTTGGGCTTTAAGTAAAAGCCAATAAACAAATATTAGAAAAATCCATTTGTACTTTCAAATAAATTTTCCACAAAATCTGGAAAATATTTCAAACTCCTGAATGGGACAAAGTAGGGAAAACTAAAACCAAATTTTTAAAAATGTTTTATATGGGAAAAGTTTAACTATATTCTTGTCAGAAGCTAAAATGTTTGGGTACTGCCAGAAAATTTCTTGGACCAGAAAAAAATAGAATGAAAACATCTGAAATGTGATAAATAGACAACTAACCAAAATAAATGTGAAGAGTTCTCTTTGCCCAGAGGGGTTTTATTGAATTGTTATTAGCTATAGAATGAATAGGCTTTACATTTAAAATATTGCCCCACAGTTTTATTGCCTTTATGAATTTCTAAGTTTGCATTTTTCTTATTTTCATCTGTGCTAATTTAATAGCATGTTAATATACCTCCTACAAACTTAGCAGAAATGACTGTAACTGTACTTTTAAAGCACATTTTTTTAGTCACCCAAAGGAGCCTCTCCCTAACTGCATTTTTATCTTTTCTGGCAGATGACATTTGATCCAGAAATCTTCTTCAATGTTTTACTGCCACCAATTATATTTCATGCAGGATACAGCCTGAAGAAGGTAAATATACAGTGATTATTTTCTTCTTTTATGAGTAAGTAGAGAATTGTACCAGCACAAATGAAAAAACAATTATTTTATGGGTTTATTTAATTCAAAAGGACATTATCTTAGATTAAGTGATACAGATTTCTATCTGACACACTTAGAATTCTTCTGAATCTGCTCTACCTAATACACTGATTATTAGCCACATGCAACCATTAAGCCCTTGAAATGTGGCTAGTTTGAATGAAGATGTGCATTAAGTGTACAATATGCATTGGACTTAATAGACTCAGTATTTAAAAAGAATGTAAAATATCTCCATTATGTTTGATATTGAGTTCATGTAGAAATGATAATGTTTTGTATATATTGGGTTAAAAAAGACATACATTATCAAAAATCATTTTCCTTTTTAAAAAACTTTACTTTTAATATGGTTACTAGAAAAATCTTAAATGACATATGTGGCTAGTGTTATATTTCCATTGGACAATATTATTCTAGATGATTGTAACCAAAGAATCAGCTGTTAATTGGAGAGATGTGGGGTTTATCAATCCGGGTGAAAACTTGACATGTCTTGCTAATCCTCAGCTGTTGATGTTCATAGAAAGGAAGTCCAGTTTTGTAGCTTCTGTGCTCTTGCCTGACATTATTTAGGTACCTCCTGAATGTGCACTTTTCATAGATTAGTCATTCCCATATGGTTTAAGTGCTAGCATCTCCTGTACCACAGATGGAGGCTCTGGTGTGTCTGAATTTTGAGATGCAGAGGGAGTACGATTGCATTTCTGCTGCCCACACCCCACCCTACGGACTCCTGGGGCTCTCACCCCTTCAGCCTGTCAGCTCCAACAGCCAGGTGGCTTGTTCAGTACAGACCTGATTTTCTTGTGTACTCCAGGCTCCCTCTTGCTATCAGTTCTAACTACCCAACTCCCACTTAGACAACTGGAAGGGAGTTTTCCCAAGCCAGCATTTGAGAAGACTTAGAAGGCTGGATTAATTTATGTCATCCTTCCTTATCCCTAGCCCCGACACTAGGCATTATTTTGTGAGATTTGTTAAAATAAATTGTTGTAGGTGGTAAAGTTTTGCTTCATTACATTCAGAAGAAATATAAGTCAGAGATCCAATAAGTCAAAGGGCAACTGAAATATTTTAGAGTAGTCTTTTTAAAATACTGAAGGGGTTCCACTGACAATAAAATTTCTTAAAATCTTGTCTTCTGTTAATCATTCCAGAGTCCTCCATGGACATTACCCCAATTCTTTACTCACTCTCTCAGGTCCAGCCAGTTCTGGCAGTCATGCTCTCATCTCTACCCTGTCATTTCTCTGGATGTATTTGTTCCCCCATTTCCTTGAGAAAACTCTGTCTTTTGCAGTATAAATTGGTTCAACCTTATTTGTATGATAAAGCCAGGAACTGAGGCTCAAAAACAAAATTTGCCTAAATAGTGAAGGAAGGGAGGGGCTGTGAAAGTGCATACCTTTATTTTTATTTCCTGTTATACTAAGAAAATATATGGATGCATTATATGAAATATTTTTTTCTCCCCAGAGACACTTTTTTCAAAACTTAGGATCTATTTTAACATATGCCTTCTTGGGAACTGCCATCTCCTGTATCGTCATAGGGTAAGTGATGCTCAGAGTTCAAGTTCCAGGTGGCTGTGAGGCCAGTGATATGTGGAAGGAATCTCACTCTTCCTGGACTTACACTGACTGGGTGAATTGTCTACCTTTTTCTGAATATCACATCTTCACACATTTCTCTGACTCAGTTCCAAGGCTTATATGTCTTCAAATCAAAGCAAACCGAAATTAGGTTGCTGGATTTTCTCTGTGAGCTTTGGACTTCTGATTTAGGGGATGTGGATAATTTGGCTTGAGTTATGTGAAGCACATTTCACCCCCCCCCCTTTTTTTTTTTTTTTTTTTTTTTTTTTTTTGCTTAATAATGCAGGTAAGCAACTGGATTCTTGTTTTCATATACTTTGCAGGACCCTACCTGTATTTGACAGGAGTAGAATTGTAGCTATACGTCAAGGGTTTGCTCTCTAAGGGAAAGTTTACAAGAGCACAGTCTAAGACAGACATTTCCACATATCAGCAGAGCTATTTAATGCCGGGATAGCTTTTCAGTTGATACACTATAGAATGAAGACTTGTTTTATTCTCATTACATTTTGTTGGTTATGTTTAAGCCCCCAAGTCTAACTATATAGACTCAAGCTTACGGCTCTTCACAAAGCAAAATATGATACAAAATGGTGAAGCCGATCCAATTCACTTATAATCCTAACTAGTACATTAAATCTCCACTGCAGAAAACATGTCCAACTGCTATGACTATGATGGTGTAGAAGCCTTAAATTGTCTGACACAGCTAACTCTACCCTTGAATTTTACTGCATACAGCTGTTACAACACTAATGCAAGAAACTCAAGCTAAAAACACATGCTAGCCACTTATCCAGCTCTTTCCTTATGAAGTATTCAGTGTGTGTCACTGGAAGACTAAGAAAGTATCATTACTTGGACCTGAAAGCAGGGGGTTGAGTTATGTTGAATTCTCTGTTAAATTTTTATTGCTTTAAGCCTAGAATGACTTAGGCTACATCATATGAAAACGTCCAGCATAGTTAGGACAGTGAGGAAGCTAAAAATTTTAACACTTGAAGGTGGAGACTTGCAGGGACATAGATTGAGGAACCTCATTAAGTCTGGACACCTAAGAGGTCTTTAAACTGTGACTAAGAGGCAAGCATGGATTTTATCCTTCTCAAAGCATAGTTTAGAGGAGAGCTGTTCTATTCTGTGGGTATACTGTAACTAAATATTCAAATTTCAAAGCTGGCAAGGGCCTTCGAGATTTGTGTGATTAAAGCACCTTATTCTAAAGATGAAGAAAGTAACATTTTGAAAGTCTAATTAGCTGTCTTAAGAAGTGTGTGTGTACATGTGTGTGCATGTGTGTGTCTGTGTGTCTGTGTGTATGAAGTAGGGCCATGGTCAGGACATAATTCAGACTTCTACTCCTGACTCAGCAGGTCTCACCATCATCCCCTCTTTCTTTAGCCATTTCTCTTGGATTTGCTATACATTCCTCTACACTGTTCGTTCATACACATTGACAGAAGTCCCTGAGATGTGTGAACAGTGTTCATCAGTTTCTAGCAAATATGACTGATTAGCAGTTCTATAATAGGATCTGAAATGTATAATGGATCTAAATTCTAAACTTGTGGACAATGCTGTTAAATTTGGGGGTAGTCAGTTTTCATTATTACCCTGTTTCTTTTGTCTAACTGATTTTAAGTATACTTAAGTGTATGTATTTATACAATATGCTTTCACCATCATGAGAATTCTATAACCTATTTTTGAAAAAGAGTAACAATGTAGTGTGTGTGTGTGTGTGTGTGTGTGTGTATGTGTGTATAATTATGTATAATTGACTTTCCAAAAAAAATTCAGTTCAGGAGATTTGGTAAAATTCATTTACTGGAGTTGATGACCTCTTTTGATTTTAAGGCTGCAATCAATAATGTTTGATGGAAAGTGATTTGAATAAAAAGTATAGCCCTGGAAAAACTTTTAGAATGATGTGCTTTATTTGAACTGGTATAATCTCAACAACGAAAACCTGTAGGGTGCCTTCTTAATGTGGTCATTAAAGTACAGAAGGGATAGGTAGTTTTAAGATTTAAAGGTCTTATCCAGCAAAGTAAAGGAAACCATTAAAGAGCTTTAGCTTGGTGGTGACAAGGTCACATTTATACTTCAAGAAGGTCATTCTGGTTGTTGTGTAAAGGAGAAATTTTAAAGTGGGGAAAAGATGGCAGCCAGGGGACAATTTAAGAGGCAATTTCCATAAGTTAGGTTGGAAACAATAAGGGCCTGGCCTGAGACACTGGCAGTAAAGATGGAGGTGGAGTCATCAACATGTTGAAATCCTGAGAGATAATGGGGTAATTGAAGGCAAGTGTATGGTGTGAGAAGGAAGTTACATGGGCATTAGCACAATCCTGAAGAAAGGGAAGAGATACCACAGGGGACTAAGAAGTATTGGGCCCAAGATACAGGAAGAAAATAAGCGGGACATGTGCCTGGAAGTCAAAGGAAGAGGGAAAGGGAGGGTAGATGGTGTCTAACACAAGGAAGTCAAATGGGACAGGAATTGGAGTATCCATTTTATTCAACCCCTCGGAGGTGATGGATGACTTCACACTCGGCCTATGGGCAGAAATAAAGAGAGTATTGGCAAGTCAAATAGTTTCAGGTGCTGTGTGATGGGAAACAAGAATTTATTTTTATTTTGTTTTTATTTAATTTATTTTATTTTATTATATATTATATGCATTATATTTTATTTTTATTTATTTTATTTTGATCTCTGGATATAATTTCAGAACTTCTGAAGGAAAGGCACAAACTTGAATTCAAGCCAAACTGACATTTATGCAAGTTAGTGACCCTCATTGTACAGGTCATTCAAACATACCCTCAAACCTTAAAAAATGACTGGTTATACTTTTCTGATAAATTAATAGTAATAAGAACAAGACAACAAACATTCGTTGAGTGCTTGATATGTAATATGCCCTTTTTAAAAGTACTTGGATTATTTAATTTAATCCTCAAGATAATCCTATTAAGTAGATACTATCATTACCCTCATTTAACAGTTGAGACAGCTGAAATTTAGAGAGAACACAGTGTAAGTAATAGAGCTGGCATTAGTAACTAGTTTGGCTCCAGAGTCAAATTCTCGATGCCAAAAATGTGCTTTACTTCCATTTATTATCATTACTAAAAAATAAAATGTAAGACATTAAACAAAAAAATAAAATTGAATAAATCAGTTAATATCACTGTATACCACATGTTTCTTCATTAGCCCATACGATTTCTCACAGATATGAAAGATTTTTATTTGGGAATCCCATTCAAAATGAATTCACGTTTTTAAGAGGAAAAAGGAATGTCTGGGTTTATGAAGATATACTTGCATAAAATGGGCAGAAGAAGAGGTTCAGGACAGTCCTAGATTGTACTGAGAATAATTTCGTAGAGGCGGTGGATTCTGAGTAGTCATTTAGCGGAGCGGGATATATAGTTGGATTTTCCATGCCATCAAGTGCATTAGTCGTAGTGGGTGTGGGGAATATTGCGTCAGATTCAAAGCTGGAGAGCCGGTTTTGTAGAGCAGTGTTAGAGAGTGTGGAAACTGAAATGATGGAGAATCAGGTGACAGACGGCAGTGAAGCTCGGCAACAGGAATTTATGAGAAGTGAAGGCTCTGAAGAGTGATAATGGGGCATGAATGGAAACAGCTAGTGGGCTGTGGTCTTTTGTAGGTAAGGACTGGATTGAATCAAGCTACAGATTGGCTTTAGATTTGGACTCAGATGCTTTATAGGAATTGAGATCACTGGGTCTATTTGAATGAAAAGAATTCTGCATTAAGTTTTATTAACTTCATGTCATTTTAGAAATCAGATGCAAACCATCTTTTATATTTCACGACAAAGTTTAGCAATATCACTTCTGGCAATAAAATCAGAGAAGCTTTAGAAAAATTTTAATTTTAATTTTTTAATGTTCTTAAAGAATTTATCCACCTTTTATAGTCCCCTCCCCAACTTAGCACTTAAGAAAAATCTTAGCTACATCTCTTTTGAAATAAAACCCATATATTTAAAATATTTCTTTATTCATCTCCTCCATCTCTGGAAGATATTCCTTTATCTTTGGCTGTATGTCTCTACCCTTGTATATTATACCGATGTATCATCACAAGGGCAACTTACCTAATGCTTACTGTTAGCACATACATTTTGTCCTTAGAACTCATTAGCTTCCAAGAAATGCTTCTCTAAGAGTAATGAGAATTATATTCTTTTAGTTTTTCTGTTAGTGAGGGATTAAAACAAATACCATAATTTCAAAAATACTTGGAAAAGGAGACGTGGATCTAAATAATAAAGAATGGGGTGTTAATTTTAAGAATAGCCTGCTTTTTATATCTCATCCTGTATGTCAGACATTGGCTTATGCTTTTAAAAGACATTGTCTCATTTTATTCTCATAGCACCCCTCTAAGGTAGGTATTATTATCCTTACTTTACATGGAAGGATGCTGAGGTTGAGATTTGCCCAAGATTGCACAATAAGTGAGTGGTAGTCAATGGCACACCCCGTCTCACTTCAAAACACACAATCTTAGACTCTCCCTATCCTGCTCCTTTTCCTAATATGACACTTTACGTTTTTATAGTGCTTTGCAATTAGTAACTATATATGTCAGACAAACCATGACCTCAATTATTTCACATTCTTATTTTATTGTGATGGCTGACAATTATTAAAAATCTGAAGATTTAAGAATGAGCTATAATATAATTGCAAAGTAGAAATGGTACCTGTCTTTTCCTAATGGAGGTAGTTGGAGTGATGATATGAATTCATTTTACTTGATTAGAATTGCTGCACTCTGGGTAGCCTGCTCTGGATAACTAGGATTCTTAAATGTGAGGTTGTTTATATTATTCATATCAACATTCCTCAGGAGTATTGATTTTCCCATTAGGCTTCTTATATGGACATGGTGGAAACTGAGCCTGACGCTCGGC